GGGAGCCGGGCGGGGAGGAAAGGCGCCTGCAGCCCCGGGCTTGGGAGTGCGCCCAGGCGAGTCCCTGCGCCCAGGCAGCGGGAATCCGGGGAGTGGGGCGAGGTGGGGCCGCTGTCTGCGAGCCTGGAGCAGTCCCCGGGTGGGGGTAAAAAGTTTCGAGGGGCAGGTTCCCGTTGCTGTAGCCTCCGGCTGGGAGACACGCTAGAAATCACCGATCGGGAGCCGGGGATTTGATTTGGCTTGTCCTGAACGCCTGCTGGGATGGGCGGCTGCTGCTGAAGCCGACGCTTTGGGGGTGACTCACGAGCCACCTACTCAATGATGTTTGGCTCTTCCGCAGAGAGGAGTTAGCGATGCGTCTGGATTTAACAGAAGCCAGAGTTCAGGTGAGTAACAGCCCTGAAGTACATGGACCTAGTCTAGTGTCTGACTGAATATCCTACCGTTCCATGGGGAGTGATGGTCTTAGCTTAAAATTAAGTGTTTGCGTAGTGCTAGTGGCTTTTTTATTTTTCCAGCTCGCTCTGATTGAGAAGTGTTGCTGTAAAGGATGTAAGAAGCTGGGTGGTGTTAGTCCCTATCCTCCTATAAAAGAGGCTTAAATGTGATCAGAGCTCTGGGTTTAAAAAGGAAGAGCAGCTTTTATTCTCCCACCTCTCTCAACAAGAAACGTCAAAACACCATATAGTAAGGGGAAGATACATCAGTACACCTCTGCAAATATTAAACTATCATTTAAAAATAGGCTTTGCAACTGTCTAATTTAAACATCTATTTACAGATGTAAAGTGGATTCGAATGAGTTGGATTGACAGTTGAAATACCTATTTTATATTTAAATTTTAAAATTCTGAAACCAACAAAAGCCTCAAGAGTCACACTAAAATTTTGTACTTTGTCCCCATTTTTAAAAAATATTTTTCTAGCAGACAATGCTATTGTATAGGAGTTCAGAATATAGTTACATTTGTAATCTTCTGGCATTTGTCAACTGGTGTTGCAGCTGCAAATTTTTCAATGGTCTTTTTTTCTCCTTGATATTTGCTTTTTAAAGAAAGGAGAAATATCCTGTACATATCCATTATTAAATCTGAGTTGAAAAAAAACCTAAACATTTTATACAGTAACATTTTATAGGTGTACACTTAAAAATGCATTCTTATCACTAGTCTGTAATGGTCCAGAGTTAAATGCATACTGGCACTTTTAAAAAATCTGTTTGGCTTTTATAGAACTCCACATTAGCATTACAAACAAATATGTTTACAGCTTCTTTTGAAGAGTCAAAATCTAATATTTTGGTTCTTGATCAAAACAATAAAAGAACCCAAAATGATTAGTTTACAACAGGGTCTAATGACTAGTTGAATGGTGTGTCCTATATTTATGTAGTTCACAAAAGCTTCGATGCACCATTTCTACTCCACTTTAACTTGGAATCACCTACACTATTTTTTTAAAACGGTTAAATAAAATAAAAGATAATTCTGGGACTGGGATGAGAGCATCTCCTTGAAGTGAATTTTTATGACCAGGTTGGATAGTTATAATAGATCATGCGACGAAACGTTAAGCAGACAGGTACAAAGATTGTGTAACCGATCTTCCATGTTGCGGTCTTCCAAAGACAAAACTTGATACAACAGCCTTGAATACCCGATCCTTGGTTTTGAACACCCATAATTAACAGTCCTTCTTAAAAAGTATTAACTCTTTTATCTGAATGTGCTTTTTAAACCTTGTCTAAATAGCAAACTGTCAATAGAGAAATGACAGTTTAGACTGGCTGAGGAGCTGGCCTCAGAAGTCATGAATTTCATCATCTTTTCATACTTTAACACTTGGGCCCTTATCCTTAAAGATAAGTAGGCTCCTAAAGTCCATGGATATCAGTGGAAGTTAGAAGCCTAAATACCTGTGCCAGTGAGACTGGGGAAAAAACTTCCAGCCATCAGGGAAAGCTCTTAGACAATGTATATTTTGCATCCAGTGCACGATGATTTTACTCGTGTGAACAAGCCGTCACCTTTTTCATCTCAACCCCACAGCTAAGTTGTTTTATGAACTTTAAGGAAAGAAAATGAGCCCCTCATACTATAGCTATCCACATACTATAGCACTGGTCATATATATGTTGGGGTAATTAAACAATGAGCTTAGTAATTAAAAATATCTTAAGGACAGCTCTGCCTGTCATGTGTTGCCCATATGCAGTTGCATAGGGCACTGGAAAATTTGGGGCACCACTGGGTCTTAATGTCCACTCACCTGCCTTTTCCTATCCCTGGCTACAGCTCTGCTTCCTCTGGAGATGAAGAAGTTAACTTAAAATTGAAGAAGCCTGCCAGATCTATTAGCAGAATATTGAACCTAAGAGCGAGCCATTCAATGGTAATGAAGCCATTTAACAGGCAGTTGCCAACCCCGGGTCTAGACTGTCACTCTCTGAATTTACTGTGGTAGGCTAGGCTACAGAGCCTTAGTTTAAGATTTGATTTACAAATATGTAATTAGCGTGTTGCTGAACATTATAAAAATCACATCTCTAAAAAACTGCCCGCCCCCCGGCTGCCATATGGCATAAGGGCACCAGTTTAATAGTACTGCATAGAGCCTCATAAATCCCAAGGACGGCCCTGATGACAGCCACATTTTTCTTTCATTAAATGAACATGGATGCATAACTGTTAAGCCACCCCCTTCCCCAGTCCCATTCTCACCTTCTCATATGGGGCTTGCCCATTGCATGCAGTTGGCTGTGCTGTTAGAGGGTGTCTCTTTGGAGACATTGAGTGTGCTGGCATGCTGCAGGTGGGATAATGTCGATGATTTCAACCCAAGCTTCCTGTGAATGTCATCGAAAAAGAAGAGATGGTTCAGTTTGGGGGTGACTCACGAGCCACCTACTCAATGATGTTTGGCTCTTCCGCAGAGAGGAGTTAGCGATGCGTCTGGATTTAACAGAAGCCAGAGTTCAGGTGAGTAACAGCCCTGAAGTACATGGACCTAGTGTCTGACTGAATATCCTGCCTTTCCATGGGGAGTGATGTTCTTAGCTTAAAATTAAGTGTTTGCGTAGTGCTAGTGGCTTTTTTATTTTTCCAGCTTGCTCTGATTGAGAAGTGTTGCTGTAAAGGATGTAAGAAGCTGGGTGGTGTTAGTCCCTATCCTCCTATAAAAGAGGCTTAAATGTGATCAGAGCTCTGGGTTTAAAAAGGAAGAGCAGCTTTTATTCTCCCACCTCTCTCAACAAGAAACGTCAAAACACCATATAGTAAGGGGAAGATACATCAGTACACCTCTGCAAATATTAAACTATCATTTAAAAATAGGCTTTGCAACTGTCTAATTTAAACATCTATTTACAGATGTAAAGTGGATTCGAATGAGTTGGATTGACAGTTGAAATACCTATTTTATATTTAAATTTTAAAATTCTGAAACCAACAAAAGCCTCAAGAGTCACACTAAAATTTTGTACTTTGTCCCCATTTACAAAAATATTTTTCTAGCAGACAATGCTATTGTATAGGAGTTCAGAATATAGTTAAATTTGTAATCTTCTGGCATTTGTCAACTGGTGTTGCAGCTGCAAATTTTTCAATGGTCTTTTTTTCTCCTTGATATTTGCTTTTTAAAGAAAGGAGAAATATCCTGTACATATCCATTATTAAATCTGAGTTGAAAAAAACCTAAACATTTTATACAGTAACATTTTATAGGTGTACACTTAAAAATGCATTCTTATCACTAGTCTGTAATGGTCCAGAGTTAAATGCATACTGGCACTTTTAAAAAATCTGTTTGGCTTTTATAAAACTCCACATTAGCATTACAAACAAATATGTTTACAGCTTCTTTTGAAGAGTCAAAATCTAATATTTTGGTTCTTGATCAAAACAATAAAAGAACCCAAAATGATTAGTTTACAACAGGGTCTAATGACTAGTTGAATGGTGTGTCCTATATTTATGTAGTTCACAAAAGCTTCGATGCACCATTTCTACTCCACTTTAACTTGGAATCACCTACACTATTTTTTTAAAACGGTTAAATAAAATAAAAGATAATTCTGGGACTGGGATGAGAGCATCTCCTTGAAGTGAATTTTTATGACCAGGTTGGATAGTTATAATAGATCATGCGACGAAACGTTAAGCAGACAGGTACAAAGATTGTGTAACCGATCTTCCATGTTGCGGTCTTCCAAAGACAAAAGTTGATAAAACAGCCTTGAATACCTGATCCTTGGTTCTGAACACCCATAATTAACAATCCTTCTTAAAAAGTATTAACTCTTTTATCTGAATGTGCTTTTTAAACCTTGTCTAAATAGCAAACTGTCAATAGAGAAATGACAGTTTAGACTGGCTGAGGAGCTGGCCTCAGAAGTCATGAATTTCATCATCTTTTCATACTTTAACACTTGGGCCCTTATCCTTAAAGATAAGTAGGCTCCTAAAATCCATGGATATCAGTGGAAGTTAGAAGCCTAAATACCTGTGCCAGTGAGACTGGGGAAAAAACTTCCAGCCATCAGGGAAAGCTCTTAGACAATGTATATTTTGCATCCAGTGCACGATGATTTTACTCGTGTGAACAAGCCGTCACCTTTTTCATCTCAACCCCACAGCTAAGTTGTTTTATGAACTTTAAGGAAAGAAAATGAGCCCCTCATACTATAGCTATCCACATACTATAGCACTGGTCATATATATGTTGGGGTAATTAAACAATTAGCTTAGTAATTAAAAATATCTTAAGGACAGCTCTGCCTGTCATGTGTTGCCCATATGCAGTTGCATAGGGCACTGGAAAATTTGGGGCACCACTGGGTCTTAATGTCCACTCACCTGCCTTTTCCTATCCCTGGCTACAGCTCTGCTTCCTCTGGAGATGAAGAAGTTAACTTAAAATTGAAGAAGCCTGCCAGATCTATTAGCAGAATATTGAACCTAAGAGCGAGCCATTCAATGGTAATGAAGCCATTTAACAGGCAGTTGCCAACCCCGGGTCTAGACTGTCACTCTCTGAATTTACTGTGGTAGGCTAGGCTACAGAGCCTTAGTTTAAGATTTGATTTACAAATATGTAATTAGCGTGTTGCTGAACATTATAAAAATCACATCTCTAAAAAACTGCCCGCCCCCCGGCTGCCATATGGCATAAGGGCACCAGTTTAATAGTACTGCATAGAGCCTCATAAATCCCAAGGACGGCCCTGATGACAGCCACATTTTTTCTTCCATTAAATGAACATGGATGCATAACTGCTAAGCCACCCCCTTCCCCAGTCCCATTCTCACCTTCTCATATGGGGCTTGCCCATTGCATGCAGTTGGCTGTGCTGTTAGAGGGTGTCTCTTTGGAGACATTGAGTGTGCTGGCATGCTGCAGGTGGGATAATGTCGATGATTTCAACCCAAGCTTCCTGTGAATGTCATCGAAAAAGAAGAGATGGTTCAGTGGCAAAGCCACATGGGAATACAAAGCAAATATTGGGAGGGAGGTTACTCCAGTGTCACCGAATTCAAGGGCCAGAAGAGGCCACCAGAATAGCTACCCTGACATCTCATATCACAGGCTGCCGCCACCACCCAGCACCTGTACATGAAACTCAAGCACTCAGATGAGACCCAGTATTACAGTCCTCGGGGGCTAGATGGTCGTCACAGGCAGAGTCGTTCGGGTGCTAACATGAGACCGATGTCCCTACTCTGCCATAGACAAGTACTTTGGGCAAGTCACTTGGTCTCGTTCCCCCAGCTGTAAAAGAGATAATACCTCACATGGGTGTTAGGATCAATACATTCAAGATTACGAAGCACTCAGATAGCATGGGATGTAAACAGACCACTTTTTAAAATATATAGCAATGGTATCTTCCTAACCTGCTCAAAAGTAACTCTCTGTGAAAGGAGTGTCATTTCTGTACCTCGGCAAGGCAACTGAGCAGAAAAGCAGCCCATTGCTTTTCAAACAGATTTGCTTCTTTGGGAAGACGCCTGCTGTACCCCTTCCTGGAGCACACCCAGATGAAACGGGGAGCGGGCACAATATTTTCTTCCTTACAGAAATTGTTGCATTTCATTGAGTCCTAGTTAGAAGTGGCCCAGCAAGAAAGAAATATGAAATAAAAGGAATATTCCCATCTCATTCCAAACTACGCCACTTATTTCAGCTACTTCCTTTTATCTAGGGAGAATTCCCCTATATATAACCTCTTTGAAAATGCATCCAAAGGGACCCATTTGTTTTTTCATACCATGGGAGAGGAACGATAAACTCCGGTAAATCCAGTCCTAAACCTATCCTTTATGGTCCACCCTCAGCATTCTTGTCTAAGTTCCTCCTTCATTCCCATTAACATTTTCTCATTATTAATCCAGATCATCGGTCTGGGGAGAAAAATAGGAACAGATCTTAAAGTTCTATCATGAAAATTTAGAAGCATCAGCTGGTTGATTCAACATCATGGGGGCTGTTGATAAAGCATGCACTCACTCACAAAGCAAGAAAGGCTTACTGCCAAGTCAACATCCTTGTGATGTCATTTGCTAATGATCCTGAGATTGATCTCAGCAACAAAGACTATGGCTAGTCACAAATATAACTTAACTTGCTTTTTTATGCAGCAGAAAGTGGTTTGTCACATGATTTTGAATGGAATTAAGTCTCCAGAAATGAGTAAACTGATTTTACATTTACGAGGCTCTTCTCTTAAAATTGCAAAGATCAAATTTTTATTTTCAAAACCCCAAGTATTTCAAAATTTGGATTATGAATGATAATTTTAATTTCTAATGAAAGTCTGGCACAGGAACAACTGTTGTAGGATGCATTCAGAATCTATAATAACTACAAAAAATAACATATGCAGTATTTAATATACGCTATAGTCCAGTCATGTTACATTTAAAAACTAATCAAAACTGTAATGACCCCAGAAGTCTACAACTCCTTTGTTAGACATTATTTTGAAGCTATTTAGCTCACAAGGATATGGTTAGCTAAACAGTATAGATAGCAAATTCCATACTATAAGTTTGTGCAAATGTGTGCATGGATGCATACTCCAAGTAACCTCAGTGAAATGTAATGGTCTTAAAAATAAATTAACGTTACTTTTTTTTTTAAAGGCAGCTGAGCTCTTCTATTAATCAGTCAAATACAAATTAGTTATTTTGATACTTGTATTAAATAATCTAAATGTTATTTATAACATGCTACAATTTTTACTGTCTATCGTATCACTAAGATAAGATGTGTGTTTATGCCTTATTTAGCACTCATATTAATGTAAATTTTGGCCAGGTAAGGCATTCAAGATTGGGATTTTAGACCTAAATAATGGCTTTCAGTGCTGATAGTCTAAACTCAGCTTAGCTTTTAAAAGAAGTTTGATAAATTCAATAATTGATGGCCAACTAAAATCATGTTACACTAAATTTACAATCTGTGTAATAGACAAGCAATAACATTGCAATCCTAGAAGGCAGTGCTACAGATTACATAAGAGTGATTTAAAGTAATTATTTTAACATTTTTATGGCAGAAAACATTTTTCACTCCTTATTCGGTGTCTCGGCTTGGAGCAGACTGAGGGGAAAAAATCCTTAAATAGATTTCACAATACATGTAGCCCTTGCCTTTTGCTTTGTTTAGGAAAGAGATCACAATGATGGTACAGGATAAGGAAACTAGCAAAAGTGTAATGTTTTTATCTGCTGCTCAAACATGATGCACAAGTGTCGTGTAACATCCTTGCTGCTCTGTTAGTCCTTTGCACTCCACTCTGCATGGGAGCGCTGGTGGCTGGTTTTTCTCCTTCTGAGATACCAGCTCTAGCTTCATTTGTGATGCTTATTGGCAGTGATCTGAGGCCTCTAGTCAAGCAATAATCCTTGTAAAAATAATTTAATTAAATCACTCAAATCTGTTTTAGCCACAGCCAGTGCTGAATGAACACAGCTGAAAATCTTTCGTTCACCTGGTTCACATCTGTAGATATACATTTCCTGCATTTCATTAGTTCAGTTATTCCCTATAAGAAATTTGACCCTTTACAATTTCTGAAATATTAGAGCTTGTGTCCCTAAAAGTATAAATTTGTTCAACACTATTGTACGAGATTGTCAAATGTACAATATTTTTCCATTGTCCACTTCTTGATTCAAAACCCAACCTCCTTGCCAATAGACACACAGTGTATCTTAGTTGCCATTAAAACTGCAAGTTCACTAAAGTTTTCCAGAAAATATTGATAACTTGAAAGAAAACACATTAAAAGTTGTGCTAAAATATCATGGCTTCTTCAGGTCCTTGTGAATAAGCATTCACAAAACTTATGTCTTCATAGCATCCAAAAGCTCTTTGTGAAACAGATAGGTAAACTAAGTCAAATAGAGTGTGTAAGCAACTTGCCCAAGATCAACGCAAGTCACTGAATCCCAGTCAGCCCTGGTCGAACTACCAGACCAAAGTTGCACGGACAATAGACAATTCTGAAAAGATAATTACAAAATGCTTAGTATTGAGACTCATTGGTCACTTTAAAAAATAATTCTCTCCATGCACTAGAATATCTTGATAGTCTTGCATGAACTCTGGTTTGTAATGCTTCACCTGCAGATGGACGAATTGTCTATTTATATTGTCTATTCTGTATTAAACATTTACTTTTATTTTGGGGACTATTCATAGATCAATAAATACATGATTGTTATACAGTCTGACCACTTCTGCTAATGGCTCATTGCATTTCAATAGTAGCTAGATATAAAATGTTTGATCCAAGCCCAGATACCGTTCAGAATTCAGTTTGAATGTCTCGGATTCTGAACTGCATCTCTCTAATTACTTGAATTAGAACAACTCCACACGAGAGAAATTTTAGATTTTGAAACCTTAAGCTTGAGGGGGGCAATTCATATCTGGGATTCTTGTTTCAGGCCATCTCTGCTGTATACTTTACGCTGTGTTTTACCCTAGCGTACACTGAAATCTAGGGATCCGGGAAAGAATACTCCAAGACAGAGCCAAAATTATAGGGAAAAAATGGTGTGGTGTCAGGTAATAAATGATTAATAGCTGTTGTTGTTCAGTAGTCAGTCATGAGTTCAAAGGTCATAAGTTGCATATTACTATGGCTTACAATCAATATCACCTTTTACTGATCTGCCTACAACCGATACTATTCAGATCACGCTTATGACATTTATTTATTGTCTTTATAACCAGAAACTTTCTATACAGAAATAGTACTTTTAAAATAAGTCACTATTATGCTGTGTACATTATGGTGTACCATAGCTGATAAAAGCAACACCCAAATCAGTATAATTGACCCTTGTGTATTCTCTCTCTCTGAAGGTCTGGTTTCAAAACAGAAGGGCAAAATGGAGGAAACGTGAGAAAACTGAAATGTTCGGGAACGTTCCAGGACTCTCCTTAACTCAGCCATTGAATCTGTTCTTGGATGTTCCATTGAGCCAGTCTCCCCTTCTGGACCATGCATGGCGAGCAGTGCCACTTTCAACAATAGCGATGCCATCTGGAACTCCAGCACTCAACCCTGCAAACTTAGGGCCGTTTGGTCTCAGCAGTCTTGCCTGGACATCTCTTTTCAGAAATCCAATTTTAAATCCCCATTTTGGAAGGTACAGAGAGTGTAATTTAAATGTTTTTCTTTTAAACCTCAGGGTTTAAAAGAAAGGGATAAATAAGACAGAAAATATTGTCTTGTCACTCTATAAATATATGGTACACCCACATCTTGAATAGTGCAAGCAGATGTGGTCGCCCCATCTCAAAAAAGATAGATTGGAATAGGTCCAGGAAAGGGCAACAAAAATGATTAGGAATATTGTATGGCTGCCATGCAAGGAGAGATTAGTAAGTCTGGGACTTTTCAGCTTGGAAAACAGATCCCCCTCCAACTGTCTGACTGACACCTATAAAATCATGACAGTTTTGTGAAGAAAGGAGAGAAGGTGGTGTTGTTTACTCCTTAACACAAGAATTAGGGGTCCCCAAATAAAATTAATAGGCAGCAGATTTAAAACAAAAGTATTTTTTTTTCCTCCACACAACACCCTGGAATTCCTTTCCAGAAGACGTTGTGAAGGCCAAGAGTGTAACAGGGTTAAAAAAAGAACTAGATGAATTCAGGGAGGCTAGGTCCGTCTATGGCTATTGGCCAGGATGGGCAGGGATGGTGTCCCTAGTTTGTTTGCCAGAAGCTGGAAGCGGGTGACAGGATGGATCACTTGATTCCCTGTTCTGGTCATTCCCTTTGGGGCACCTAATGTTGGCTGCTGTCAGAAGACACAAAACTAGGCTAGATGGAACCTTGGCCTGACCAGTATGTCCATTCTTGTGTAGTCAACAGCTTAATATCACAGGTGCCCAATGTTACAGTATGGATTCTGCCTATTTAAAAGAATAATAGTTATTAAAGGTCAGTTCTTGCATGGCTTACTCACTGGGACAACTTGAGTACAATAAGCAGGAAAACAGCTGTAAACCCTAGTGGAAGTCATGCCACATAGCTACTGTGCAAAAGGCAGTTGTGCACATAGGGTGAAATCCTACCCCCACTGAAGTCAGAGAGTCTTTGTCTTCAAGACAGACTGTGCGAATGTAGACTGACTGGACTCTGTTCTGATCACAGACATGCAGGTGTTTGTTGCACATCTGAAAATCTACTACAACTGGTATAGATACAAGCTCTCACCATGATTATACAAGAGAGAACGCTTCTGGATGCTCCCACACAGGAGACCAGAACATGGCCCCCGTTCCCTAGGCACCAGGAACAGAGCTGACATCACGTCCGGGCCATATTCATCCCGTTAACATTGCCTTTACAGAAGGCACGTGCGCCCAATCCCAATGGGAGTTTTATCATTGACAGGGGAGCTGACAGGATTGCCAGCTCCCTGAACAATGTGCAAGGGAGAGGGCGGCTCTGCACTCACGGAAGGGGTAGGGCTTGGGCAACCAGCCCCCAGTATCCCCTGCCACCTTCAGGGCTGGCTGGAGCACATAGGGCCAGGCTCTGCAGTGCATAGCACTCCTGAGGTGATTCTAAAGGACTGGGGGCTGTGGCAGTGGCAAGGAGCCCTGGGCCCCTTAGGATCACCAGGCCTCAGACAATTGCCCCCTTTGCCTGCTTCCTTCCCAACCTCAGTACTAAGCACAGGGTTGAACTCAGAGTCGTGTTTCCCAACCTCCAAGACTTCAGGGTAGATCCTGAACCTGTCTCCACTATCAGGGCCCCACTGAATTCCACAGGGCAGCAATGACGTATAACAGCTGAGGGTCTGTTCCTCAGTCTCGCTCACTACAAGTGCTAAAATTTAGCGACAGAAAGCTGCTGTGTTAGCACTGTGTAGCTCTCTCCCTCCTGAAATGGCAGCCTATATTATAGCCACGGATTAACGAGCAGACCTTTCCACCACCTTGATTTATGCTGCTTTTCACATGAAATAACTTGTCTCAACAACTTGGTTGCACAAAGGCCTCCATGAAAATTGTTCCCTTTATGAAGTATTCTGTGGTTTCCACAGAGCATGCTGATCTCGAGCATTACCGGGTTTGCTTAGAAAGGACTTAACCTGTTAAGAGAGTGACAGTAAATTTAATAAACTGAATTTTTGTGGATAGCTGCATGTAACAGTGGTATGAACGTCTCTCATGCCACAGGTTAGTAAGTGATATTTTGAGGTGCAAAGGGGATTTGCCTATTGCACTTAAAAAAAACCTGTCCATTTATCTCCCCCCCCCCCCCCCCCAAAAAAAAAATTGGAAAAAATAAAAACTTGTTTTAAAAAAATTGAATCCAGATTAATGGTGTGGTGCTCAATAAGGTAAATATTTCTTCTACAAATAATTCGTGATTTGAGTGCGATTGACTTTCTTTTCCCCCAAATATAGATTTCTCAATGCTTTAAATCCTCTCATGACAACAGCTTCAGTCTTAATGAAAACTCCAGGACCCCCATCAAACACTGCTCTCACCGCCTTCACTGATCCGGCAGCAGTTGAAAGGAAAACGTCGAGCATTGCAGCGCTAAGACTCAAAGCGAAAGAACATTCAGCACAAATCCCTCCATTAAACTTCCTAGCCACTCTTACAAACACTAACAAAGAACTTTGTTAGGAACTTTCCCGCAGACTGCAGTAGCATAGGAGAAAGCAAATGCCGTCTCCCGTAAGTGGGTCCAGTTATACAGAGGCATACAAAAAAAACCCAAATCCACTTCCCATCTATAGATCTTCTCTCTGCAAAATGGGCTGGAGGACATGTTTAATCCTGCTAAAAATAGCTTTCTTCTATTATAACACAAAATTGTACAGTCCTGTAGAAACTGATTGACTGTTTACAGTGAAATTTTGACTTTACAAAAGAGATCAAGAATTGGCTTGTCTACATAAATAAAACTAACAAAGAACAAGTTTGCTGTGAAATGCCATGATATGCTAGACATTAGCACAAAGGTTGAAAATCCTTTGTAGAAATAACTTCAGAGTTCTATTAACAATCTTTACATGTCAGGAGAAACTGTATGACTACAATAGTTTAGACCCAAGAATCAAAATACGGTATGTTCTTAATTTAAAGATCATGCTTCATATTGAAGTATGAATGACTGTGAAATTTCACAAAATAAACAGAATGCCAGCAGGAAAGAGGTATGAAATATTTTGAATATAGGTCTTTGATTCAAAACTAGGTTTGTACAAAATGTTTGTTTCAAACTAAAATAAACAAAAGTTTGCTTATGTTCAATGTGGCAATGTTTTAATAATTAAATCCTAAGATTTAGCTTTTGACCATCAAACACTTTGTTAATGAAAGTTGTGTCCTGTAAGAAAAAAATGTGTTTGAAGTAAATTGTGTAATTCAATATATTGCTGCATAGTTACTAGTTTTAACCATGAGGTTTCTGAATGTTTTGGTGTAACTAATGGCAAATAGCAGCAGACTTATCACAAAGTTAACTTTCCTTATTTGTAAATCTCTTCACATTTATTGTATGCCTAAGCAGATTCAGACTTGCACCCTTCTAAAAACTGCCCTTAAAATGATTATTGGGAAGAATAAAAATTGAGGTTATAGCTAATAGATATTACAATTTACAAAAACCTTCAGGCAAGCCAGTTGACATCAACCTGAGTTTCCTCTGCTGTAAAATCAGGGTGAGCAGACCAAGAACAAGCTCATATGCAGCTCTTGATCCAGAAATACTGAAGCATGTTCCAAAGGAGGGTGAGTATCATCCCATTTTACAGAACAGTTGCCTCTCCCAGAGCTGCTGTGAGCACTATAGAAATGTTCTGAAAACACTGTGCAAATGCCAAAGGGTTATATTAATGTTAAGCATTGTATGTTAAATGGCATCCTCATTGGCAGAGGTGGCAGGGACTGAACCAACACAGGGACCAGCTTTGGTCTCACCAAAGATGCTTTGAGTAGTGAACAGCGGTGAGGCAGGCTGGAGAATCTCTCACTGATGGTGCCTGTGTTTCTCCTGTTCCCCTGACTATTCTGATACGCTATGGTCACAGAAAAAGCCCCCAAACCTCAGTCAACTTTTCATGATCTTAATGCTCTGTAAAGCCAGGCTATCGGTTCTCGACTTAGACTACAATCAGCCTAGGTCTCTTGATCACATTTATTCTGAAAGTGAACAATGTCAATACTGTTGCAGTGAGCGTGGCACAGAGAACCCCTAGCTACCTTAATTTCTGCTTTTGTAGATGTCTAAATCTTGATTGTATTAAATTTTGTACATTACACAGAAGGCTCCTTGGTTGATTAGATTGTCCTCTTCTCTTACCCTTGAAATCTGCTTTTACTGTGGCTTGTGGGCTGACTGCAGTGAAGCTGCATATGCATCTACATCCCATCACCATTGCCTAGGAATGAGAGCAGAAATAGTTTAGGTCTGTAGATGCATGTAAACATGGTGACTTATTACCTCTGAGAAAAGTAAATTACTTCTTCCAAAGCAAACACAGTCTCAACTGTGTGGATCAATTGGCAGGAAACCTTAGGAGAGACACAATTTGTTACATTTCCTCACAAAAGTCTGAGTGTGTTCCCCACCCCCACAACGGCACCTTATTTTAACCCATCCACTCTGCCAGTTGACAACACAGCACATGGCCTACATCAGCCCTGGTCTTGTGCTAAATTAACTTTCTGCCCAGCAGGACGATCGTTTGTAAACTGACATTATACAAGTTGTATTTCTTTCTGGACATGACTCCTTGTGTCCTTCCTTTTGTAATTAATACTCAATCTCTTGAAAAGGCTAGAAAATTCTGCAAGGAAAGCACAATCTGTACTTTTTTAAAAAAGTAGTAAGAAACATCTAAATGCCAGATGCATTAGATATTGCTCCCATGCATTGCTTAAATGAACTGGTCTAATAGCTATTCAAAACAGAATTTTCCTATTTTAAAAAGCCCAGCCATTTTTGCTAATTATTCTGCAGAGTAGTAGCTGCAAGATAAATAGTGTCTCAAATACTTTTTGGAGAAGTTACACCCATATTTCAGCATATGGGGTGAGTCCTAGCCCCATGGTAGTCAATGGGAGTCTTGTCATGGACATGAGTGGGGCCAAGATTTCACCTATTGATAAATTTACCCCTATCATAATTCCATTGCTTCCAGTAGTTACAACAGGATAAATGTGGCCCAGCAAGTGCCTAAACTTCTCCTTTACACATAGAACTCCTGTGCATATTCACAGTTAATTAGGTAAAAGTGAATTTAAGAAATATGCAATGCCAGGAGAGGAGTTACCTTGCTCACTTTTTTCATTGAGTACTTCAGGCATACTTGTTTAGAAGTATAGTATTGACAGATGGACCATGGAAGGTTCCACAAAGGAAGAAACTGGGCCCGGGGGGGAGGGAGGAGGAAGAAGAAGAAGCTTTGAAAGTGAACTGGGACAGAATGCTATTGTGTGAAAGCCCATTGTAATGTGCAGTCACAGCCCAGGAGAGGGGGGAATAAAACAAAAGAGGATAATTACTTTTTTTTTTTTTTTTTTTTTTTCAGAGCAGATTGATGGCTCCTTCCAGTTAAATATTCCAATATATAGGGATAAACTAGTCACTGCCCAAATTTGCTTTTCACAAGCAGAGTGAACGAACTAAGGCAGTAAAAGAAAGATGCTCTATCAGCCACTAAAAACTGCAATTTTATTATCAAAATAAAACCAGAGACGACCTGAGCCTACCAAGTGGGTGGGAAGGCAGGGCCCAGTGAGGGCAGTGGCATCAGCAGATGTTACTGAGCATGCTCAATCCATATGGTCATGCTCAGTATAAGCCAAGCAGCAAATAGAAGGCAAGGGGGGGCACATGTCCTCACATGCTCCCCTCCACATTTAGCCGATGAAATTCAAGTCACACTTGTTTTTAGCAGGCTCCTTTGTACTTCCTCCCAGGTTACCCTTTATATATAGGAGTAGCTCCCTATCAATAGCTGCAAAGCTACCTCAATCTCCTCCTTAAAACTCTACCACAATGCCAACCCATAACTCAACCAGAGCTAGACAGCTGATGTGCCCATCACACGGACCATCCTCATCTCACTGGATGCTTGTTGCATCTTCCTGTGGGCTACAGAGTTCTTCGCTTGAAAGCCCCAGTCAAGGCACACCTCTGACGCGTATTTGTACAACGCCAATCACAATAGGCCTGTGGCCGCTAAGAGCCACTTCTCCCTGTATCATAATAAACATTACTTAATTTGGTATTTAATTTAATTGTACCACAGATGGGAGAGGCCACCAGTGAAAGAAATTGGGGGGAATGTAGCAAAGGCTAGCAGTGCACTCCACACACCAATAGAAACTGGTGCATCATACATTAAAAGTTTCCTAGTAGAGGCCATTCCAAAGCATGCCTCAATTTCCTGACCCTTTCCCTTTGAAACCAGAGAGAAATTTTATTTAAACTGATTTAATTTACTCTGCTTTAATGAGTTTTTCAAAAAGTTTCCATTCCGCTGCGTGAACTGAAAGCCAGCTGTGAGAGCTAATAACATTATGAAAGTCAATATGGATGTGCAACACTTGAAACCGGCTTAGGAATCAAAGCACATCTGTAACCAAAACTGGCCCTTGTCTGAACTCCCAGAAGCTGCTTTTGTTGCTGTTACAGATCAATGTTTTGTTATTAACTAATAACCCCGAAGGAAGAGGCTTTGCTTAGAACCACCCTTTTCATTTTTTCAGAGGCAGTAGAAGCTTAAATACAGAAATTATTAAACCTTCATTTTTAAAAATGTACCGGTGCATTCTCTCTAAGCCTCCAGGGGATCTAAAGATCTGATCCAAAGCCAATCAATCAATCAGTGGGAGCTTTTTCACTGATTTCATCAGTAGGTTACAGATAAGGCCCACTGTATTTAACTCCCATGTGCATTTTCAGAGGGCTGCTTGCATATAGCACATGCACAGTAAAAGAGGAATTCCTCCATAGTGTTGTTTTAATTAAAGCACCATGCTAAAAACTCTTTAGTATGGCTCTGAATCACAGCCATATAAACCAAATCATACAGCCCTTCCTTAGGCAAAAGGCTGGCTGACCTGGATTAAGATGGCGTAATTTGGCCCAGTACTTCCCTCTAGCTCTAGGATTTCACTCTTGTCTTTATAACATAATTCGGCTCTGGTTGACATCAATGGGAATTTTGCCATTGATTTCATTAGAAGCAAGATTGGAGCCCTGGCTGTTGTTTTTGTTTTTAAATGGACACTGAAAATGAGTTTTCAAAGCCGCATAAGAGATTTAGACACATCTTTCCTTCATATGTGTAAATCCCCTGGACCACTTTGAAATATCTCAGTCGTATAATTAAACATCGCTGCATTGTTCTCTTACGTTTGGGGAGTTATGCCCTAAAATTCTGGCACACTGGTATTACTAAGAAACATAGGCAAATGTTCCTAATGGATTTCTCTTCCTTGGCTGAAATAGCGTACAATTGTCAATTTTGCTTAGCTTTGTTTTCTACCTCAAGTTCAGGTTGATAACAGAGGAGATTGTATAAAATTTCCATACTTCCAGTGGCATAATATCATCAGAACCTTGTCTACAAAGAAAGAGTAATTTTATTGTTAAAGAGAGAGAGAGGGAAGAGAATAATAAGCCAGGTGTTTGAAGAAAAGACAAAGGAACAAGCACAGTAGGGTGTTCTGACTCACAAATCTGTATTGAGTAAGAAGTATTCATGAAGAAAATTAATTTAAAAAGTATGTAGTGCAGGTTTTGAGCCCATAAGTCTTTTCAAAAACAGATTAGTGATTAAAAACTTTTTTATTCTAGCAATCTCTTAAACAATTAGTCCAGTAATTGGAAAGGGACTACAAATTCAAATATAGATGGACATAAAAGAGTTTCCCCATAGAGATTTTCCTTGGTTTTGTGGGCTAGTGCCATGCACCTGCCTTTGCCATCGCATGGGGTTGAAATACTGAAGAAGTGCACTGAATAGGGATACAAATGCACCAAACAGCAATACCATACAAGTTACTTAATTCATGTAAAGTAGTGGTAATTGTATTGATCGTGAATGCATGAACAATTCCTTTATTTTGAGCTACATTAAATTTAAACCACCGAACTGCAATTTGGTCCCCGTTGCAAATTTGTGAACTGCTGGGTGTGATTTAATTAATTTTCTAAATTAATTTTCCTGAACTGCTCAACAAGACAACTCTGTACATCAAAATGGGTGGGCATTATTCTGAAAGGATTTCTTTTCATTTTAAACAGGTAACAAATTTCTTCACTTCTAGCTCTTGATGTGCATGCATTCAAGGAACAGCCTTTCTCCACGACACATCTGTCAGTCATGTCACTTGAGAAAAATATATGAAATGAAGTGAAAAAGAAGGGGACATCATCAGGGCTAAGGAAAGGACTTGGGAAGCCAAAGTCCCAAATGATTTGCCTGAACTAAAAACTCAATTTTTTTCGGGTTCTGAATTATCTGTGTACAGGTTTTTATTTTTCCTCCCTCTGCCAATATTTGGCCAAGATCACAAGTAGAAATGCCAAAATACTGGCAAGAGAGGTGGTTGTTCATGTATTTTTGTCTGTAATCTCATAATCAAAACCTTTTCTTGGGGGCTTTCCTGCTAACATTGCATATTTCAAATGATTTGGAAATATTGAAGGTTCTTCTATCCATAGACAATAGCTATATACCCAATATAGAACTGAAACAAGAATATTGGAGTTGATGAACTTGGCTCTAAGTTCACCCCATGAAGTAGTCTAATTATCTATTCAAGAGGAATGAATAACTACAATAGTGGCTCTCCTAATCACAATCACCATTTTATTGAATACTGAACAACTGTAGTAATTCAAGGAGTATATTTTAACATTTTTCATTGTTGTCACAATACCATCTGACAAATAAATAAGCAGACAATGCCATCCTAGACTCCTCCCATGAAGCTATTCCCTGGCCTTATATCCCTTGATTATAACTAAGAAGAATGATTTGCCTACAGTTTGATACAGACAGGAACAGAATGCTACAAGGCGTGTGACTCATTGTGTCATGGACAATCAGATGCGCTAACACTTCAAGATAAATACAAGGGTTACCTACCCTTCTATAACCCTGCAGAGAAAGGAAGAATTAAGAAAGCTACGGTGGAAGAACTACATAACTTTGATGAAGTATAAATGGAC